TCGGCGTGGTGGAGTTTTGCGGTGGGAGACCCGCGGGGTGGGGGGGGGATCAAGGGGGCGAGCCGTGAAGTTGGATCGAGTGAGGAGAGGGAGAATCAGGCTCGGGAAGAAGGGCATGCGCGACAGAGAAGAGGCAAGTGTGCGACCTAGGGCTCCGCTCGGGCCGCGATTGGGAAAGGAGCTAAATAAACAACCAACAGATTTCAAATTTTGCAAATGAAGAACCCAATATTTTATGTTTTCACAAATAGGTCACCCAAATCTTTAACTTGCATTAAAAGTACCCTTATTCCAGGCGCAATAGAGAATGCATTTAGGAGGCAATCCCAAGTGACAGAGATTAGAAAGATTACTTATATCGTCAGACAAGAAATCATCAGAACAAAATTGCCAAAATATATCCTTATAAATTATGAGCATATCAAAACCAAAGCATGAGAATAAGGTAACCAAATATCTCCTTTGAATGCTTGCAGAAAGAAAGAGGAAGAGGAATACCTTTTAATGTAGATTCAAAGCAAACTCAAGAACCAGCCTTAAGAAAATAAAATCAGCAAAAACTTCTCTTAAGAACCTTGATGTAAAAGTCTAAATCTCCTGAAAAGCCTCAAGAAATACAGCAGCAAATGTTCATGATCAAAGATGCCCCAAATCCTTTCCCTTGTTCTCTAAAAAATTTCAGCCTCTTCTCCTCTCTCAAACTTTACCCAAGAGAAAACAAAACTCCAAAAATATTTCAAGCACACGCACCGGATGAATCAACCAAAAAAAATGGCAACACCTTCTTTTTTTAATTATTGGCCAACCCTCAAGATCTCCCTAAGGTGGGGTTTTATAGGCAAAAGAAAGAGGAGCAGTCACCTACCAGCCTTAATGGTGACCGAATGGGATGATGGGAGAGGAGGAGGAGCATTTAGGGAGAAAGAACAGGTGGCCTAGGGGAAAGGAAGGGTCGGCCATGTGGAGTTTTGCCGTTGGAGATCCGCTCGGTCGAGCGGGGATCAAGAGGGCGAGGCGTGAAGTTGGATCGAGTGAGGAGAGGGAGAATCAGGCTCGGGAAGAAGGGCATGCGCGACAGAGAAGAGGCAAGTGTGCGACCTAGGGCTCCGCTCGGGCCGCGATTGGGAAAGGAGCCGCGGGTCTCACGAAAGAGAGAGGCGCAAGCGTCGTTTGCTTAGGTAAAATAGGGTTTAGGATTAAAATCAATATTATAAGTAATAATATAAATATAAAAGTATTTAATATTTCAAAATTAAAAATTTGATTTCTATCTTTTTATTCGTGCGTTACAACATAACAAAATAGATGTCCTTTTTAGGTAATTCTGACGTTCCGGACGCGTTGGCATGGTCCGTTTCGTCGTCAGAGGTCGTTTCGATGAATTCATCGATTTTCGTGCAATTTGCTCATATGCGGAATTATGACAATATGAGTGTCTTTCTTAGCTAAAATTGATGTCCCGGACGCATTGGTGCTGTCCATTTCGTCATCGGAGGTCGTCCGTAGAAGTTTGCATTTTCTCCCATCCTTTAAGCTCAATTTTAGTCCGATCTTGTGCAACTTAGTGAATTTTATGAATTTCGTGTGTGTGTGTGGATAAGGTCTTAAAGAGGTTTCCCTAGGGCTTGAGATCCTATTGGGAACTTCTCCTTGAGTCTTCACATTATAGTCCTTAACAACTCGACAATACGACGATGGTTTTGAGATCATCAATGTGAGACATCACAAGGGAAATAAGAAGTGACTGAAATTTCTAAGAGGATGAATTCCGATACTAGTTTTCTAAGATAGTCAATAGGAACTCTTAAAGCTAGATCCTAGGATCCTAAGGAAAAGAGTAATGACCTCAAAATGAGATCAACACACACTCTTGTGAATCCCCTTTATTCTTAAAAATGGGGACCAAAATACTCTTTCTCCTCTCCGCAGGTTTTTTTTAGTTTTTAAAATAATATCAGAGTTTAGTAAATCAAGAAACTATTAAATCTTCTAAATATTTTCACACTTCAATTGAAATATCATGATCCTACTGATTTTCCACCCTTGGTATTCCTTAAACCATCATCAACTTCTTTTTTACTAATGCGATTGTAAAAAAAAGTTCCATTATTATTAGCGATTTTAGATCATTAAGGTCGATTGCATTTTCAGAAACTTCGTTGAAAATTTTATCAAAATATCTCACTCTCCTATGTTGAATATCTATCTTCATTTAAGAAACACTTTTTGATTTTCATTTTTAATACACTTTATTTTAATTAAATTTTTTACTTTTCTTTTTTCTTTGGTTAGCTTAGCCTATACCTATATTTTTCACTTTCTTTAGTATCCAATCTATTATACATATATTTTTCATCTTCTTTTGTATCTAATCTATTATAAATATCACTAAAAGTAGAATTCTTAGCATCACAAATTATTTTCTTAGGCTCCCTACATGCCACATTATATTTTTCCCAGCTTTTTGTGTTTTTCGATTTAAAATAACTTTTATAACAAAACTTCTTAAATTTTATCTTTTATTGCACATTATTATTGCATCACCAATTATTTTTATTTATAAATATTTTTTTATTATTCTCCAATTATTTTTTTTACTACTTGTTTAATAGTGTTTGTTATTTTATCCCACATAGAATTGACTTATTCATGACCCAAATTTGAAATCTTGAAGCTTACTTGTAAAAATAATTTTATTTGTCTTTTAGGTGCCCCCATCTAATTCTATGACACTGTTTCATTATGTTTTCTGTCTTCTAACTAATTTTAAAATCCAAAACTAATAATTGAAGTTGAGTACTTAAATGGAATGATCTTATAATCTTTACATTCTCGACGATCTTTTTTTCGTATAAAAAACAATTAATTTATGTTTTACTAGACCCATTCTTATAAGTAATAACACGATTATCTCTTTTCTTAAAGTATTAAAAATAGCAAAATCATAAACTAAAGTAAATCTAATATGGTTCTACTTTTTTTATTAATCACTCTAAAACCGTAGCCACCATGAATATTTCTAAAATCTTCTACCACTCTATCAACATGTTCGATTAAACCTCCTCCAAGATAAATTTTTTCTTCAAGAGATAACGTTTGTATCAATTTTTTTAGGTCATTCCAAAATTTTTATTTTGAACTTATATCTAAACCTACTCAAGGATCATAAGTATTTATAACATTAAAAATCTCAATATCAACAATAATCTTTAAGGCTATAATTTTGCCTTCAATTATATTAATTTTTGGAATATTATCTTTCAAATTCTTATTTATAATTACACATACACAATTTCGTGTGCGACTCCTACTTAAAAACCAAAGTTTAAAATCTAACTAACTTATCCATCTCCTTAATTTTTTTTCCAGCCCATTTATTTCCTTGAATGCATAAAATATATATACACACTTCTAAGCTTGTCTATGCTTGATGCGGGTACTGTTACGCTGAACCGGTCACAAGCAATGGACCAATTTAGAGGAGGAGCAGAGGGGGGGTGGGGTTTCTTTACCGACCCCCCTAGTTGGGAATAGTGCCACCTTCCTTTTCTATTTATGTATTAGCATTTATTTTTTGTCTTTTCTGTCTATCGAGAGTTCCCAAAATATCTCGTTACCCTCTGAGGGTTGTATTCGACGGCGAGAAGGTGCTTCGATTGTAACCCATCCTCTGGTGGTTTGTGTCTTCCTTCCTTTTCATCCCCGAACTCTTCCTCTTTACTCCTGCCGCCTCCTTTTCCTCCCCTTTGCTGGCCGCCAACCGTGCGCCAGTTCTAGATTGGTTTTGTTTTAGAACTCCTCTACTGTCCTGCCGGCAGCCTCCTCGCCCCGTTTTGACACATGACATCAACCGACACACGCTTTGCCCTGTCCAGCCATCCCTTTGCAGGTCTGATCCTCCCTTGCTCTTATCCTTAACCCCTTGGTGCACCTTGCAACCCACCACAAGCCAGCCATAGCCCTGCTGCTTTCACGTGTACTCCGCCCTTTCATACCGCTCAATTTACGGCTACCCACCACCAGTCAACACCACTGGGATACTGCTCTCGTTGGGTCCTTATTTTTGCTATTTACCATTTCAGTTGATTATTTGTAATCCCCTATTTGAATTTCTGTAATAATATTATTATTCCGTTGTTGTTTCGGTTAACACTGGTATCAATGCCGCTCCTTGACAAATCAATCGAAATAAAATAAATTTTTACATTTTTCTCGCAAGAATACATTAGTGTACTTTTACTTTAGATTTTCTTGCAACAAAAAAAAATGTTAAACAATGTTTTTTCAGTATGTATCTTGCTTAACTAGTAATATTGCAAATATATCATGATGTTGACTTGCAGATTCAGAGAAAAGCTTCTGCTCCCTGGCTGTTGGTACTGCTCAAGAGAGATCAACATGGTTTTACCAAGCAAAAAAACTTAGTTTATTATCTTTTGCTCTTCTAGCTGAGTGTGATTCCACTTGTGATGATGATGACCGTATGATATCACTTACTGCTTTAGGAATCCGCCTGGTTGTTTCTTTAACTGATTTGAGACAATGGAAATGTTTAAAAATTGAGAACATTGAAGAAGCCGATGCTGCTGTGAAAAGATTGATTTATTTTCTGGTTAGAAGCAGTGTTATGTACTCGAGTTTCAGGAGTTTCCTGATGAAGCTCAAAATTTGTAATGTCCATGAGGAGTCCAAGAATATTATACCAACAGAGAACATTTTCTTGATTACAGCAAGCACACTAACTTTAGCTTTGCGTCCTTTTAAATCCAAGTCAGAGAAAAGCAATGGTGATGCCTTTGATTTTAGAATAGCCTTTGAACAATACTGTATATTCATACTGACAGTTCCATATCTCACTAGAAGGCTGCCAAATCTCCTTGTTCCTGCTGTAAAGCATTTGTCTGTACTTTCTCCATGCCTTAAAGCTCTATTGGTGAGTATTTTTTCCTATTAAAATTTTTTATCTTTGGTAATATATAATTAAACCTCTTATTTGATGGAAAGGCGGATGCAGTCTATTCTTTTGTCTTATATATGGCAGGTTTTGATTTTTATGTTTCCGTGCAATTGTGAACCATTTTTTATTTTTAGAGTGATAGTTTTTTTTTCTTTTTTTTTTTTTGGAGAAAGAAAAGTCTGAGAATTGTTTATTATTTTTCTTATTTAACTCAATAACACCCCCAACCACTAGTTCAAATGAGCTGCACTAATTGCTCAGGTACTACTATCTTGTCGCCATTCTGTTATCATTTTATGCTACGATTCTTCATTTCTCTTTTTGTGGGTTTATTTCTGCAAATCTAAAATTTTCACCCTCTCCTTGGTTTTAGGGCAACTCATTAAAACTAGTGATTTATTGCTTATTAAGTTTGCCTCATCTGCATTAGGCAGATTACACATTTCTTTGCTGTTTTGTGAAAGTTTTTTGATTTTCAGAACTAGCTCTTGCTCTTGCTATGCGCTGTCGTCATAGGCTCAACTTGAAGTCTATGAACTGATCAATTGTGGCAGGTGCTGGCAGGTTTCCAAGGATATAATATTTGTTGAGATGTTAAAATTTGAAGATTCAGGTATTTTACATTCTACTGGTGAATTAGTTCCTTCGTGTGGCTGGGCTCTTGCCAACGTTATAGACCTTGTAACTGAGTGTGACCACGATTCTGTTGACTCAGGGCACTTTATTCATGGTCTAGATTGTATGTTGTATGTTCAAGTTATAAATTCCATCTCTGAGAACCTTTTAGACTGTCTAGGGAACATTGGGATACTTGCCAGAAAGGATCATCGATATGTTGAGATGGATGACCCTTCTTCACAGGATAATAGTTCGGTGAACTGCAATGGGCGAGAACTGGCACATGCAAACTTTCTAAGTCCGGTGCATCAGCAATGGCATTTAAGGAAGCTTCTGTCCTTGATAGAGAAGAGTGAACAAGTCCAACAAACAAATTCTTGTGTATCAAATCATGACATTGATGACATTAGGAACTTGAGACTAATAGATATTGTTTATTTTTATAATTTTTTCCTCAGAATATTCTCATTTTTAAACCCTGCTGGTGGATCACTGCCAATTCTTAATGTGCTTTCCTTCACTCCTGGCCTGGTAACACAATTGTGGGAAACTTTAGAAGATTCAATATTCGGTGGAAATGATTGCAGGCTCCTTGAAGATTCCTTAAATGATTCTAATTTTGGCAATTGCAACAATTCTAGTGGGGATAAAAAGCAAAAAATGGGTATGAAGGATACTGGAAGCAAGTTGGTCAACATATTTCAGAAAATTGCGGGGAAATCTACCGATTTGAATATTACCCTAATAGATGTTACTTCCCATCATAATCAAGCTAGTCTGAATGCACTTTATACATGGGATGTTCAAGGTATGAAGAAGGGTTCCCAAGGCATTTCAAATGATGTTTCATGCGTTTTGCATCTTTTTTGTGCTATATATGCACACTTACTTTTGATTCTTGATGACATTGACTTCTATGAAAAGCAGGTATGGTGATGCATACATTTGTAGTAGATGCCAAATTTTTTATGGGCTCTGAGTTTTATCTTTTTGTGTTCCTATTTTCTTCCTTTTTTGAGCTAGGTTCCTTTTACTCTTCAGCAGCAGCAAAAGATTGCATCAGTACTCAACACGTTTGTGTATAATTCTCTTAGTCACAATACTGTACAAAACAGGAAGCCAGTTGTAGATGCGGCAGTTAAATGTCTCCATTTTCTCTATGAAAGGGACTGCAGACATAAGTTTTGTCCATCTTCTCTATGGGTAGCACCAGCTTACAGAGCTTGCATTCCAATAGCTGCAGCTGCTAGAGCTCATGAAGCTGCGCATTCAAATTTGCAGCTTGGGGATGCTTCAACTATTCCAAGCATGAGCTCTGTCCTAACTACTGTTCCTCATGTTTTTCCATTCGAGGAAAGGTAGAACTATTCAACAGTTTTTTGACCATGTCATCTATCATTTGCTTGATATAGACATTATTGCCAAGTTTCCTTCTTTGTGCCAAGATCTAAATATACCTTGGGAGGACGCCATGGTGAAGCATTTACTTTTTTCAAATAAGATGACATTTTTTAATATATTTTTTGATTGCAACCCTAAGGAAGTATTTTTGTTCCATGGATTGCCAACTATATCCAGTCAAGATAGTTCAGGCTGTATAGTATTAGAGCTAGCATTCAGAAATAATAAAAATAGACATACAATCTAATTTAAAAGAAGGCTTTTCAAGATTGTATGATTTTGGAGCTAGCATTCACAAAAATTACTTCTAAAATAGAGTTCATCTTGCATAAATCTATAATTACTTTTATTCAAATTATGTTTGCCATAATAATATAACAATTCATTACATGCACACAAGACAAGCCACATGTGATATTAACATGATAACACCACTACATAGGGTGCAACATTAATGGTCATTGACAAAATTTTTAACTCCAAAAAGGGAAGAAAATAATGAGTTTGAAAAAAACTTGAAAACACTATCTAGATCAAGTTGCATAGTAGTAATAAGCAGGGACTGGTTTTTGATCTTACCTTTGTCAAAATAAATATAATAAAATGTGAAGTTCTCATATTAAAGCATATATCACTTTTTGCGTTATTTTAATACCAATCAATATTTATAAAGTATCTATTTGGAGACCTAGAGAGGAAGATGTAATTTGTTTTGATCATATAAGTTAATAACGAAAAATAACATATACTATGTTGCTTAATGCGGCATGCCACTTGCACTATTTTTATGGACCGGTGCACATGGTTAAACTAGCTCGTGTTATTTGTGGTAAGCACGGGTAATAATGCATGGCACATAGCCCCCATAATGCACACTATTTTAATTTAGCCGACTAATTATTATAAATGTGAAATTTAATTATATATGCCTCATACTAGTGGATATTGGAGAAACATACCCACTGTTTCCAAAAGTTTATTTCAGAATAGATTATCCCCAATAAGGGATAAATGTTTTATTCACAGATTGCTTTTTGGAATTGAAGTATGTGAAAAAGATTCGAACATCTTCGATCATTGGATAGTTGTGGTCGCTAACCCCTATTGTCCTTCACATGTCGCACTTTCATTGCAGCTTTTCTTGCTTGCTCCCATCGCGACCATTGAGCTGCTGGTGCAAACATCTCTCCCCTCAACACATCGTTGGTCTCATCAACATCTTGCTCTAGCAAGTTCTATTTCAAACATCTCATCTTCTAAATATCTTATCAATTCTATCCAAAGGTTGTTGCTCTTATCAACGCTTTTCCCGCATGATCTCCGGTCTAACTTTGCCCTATTGGGAAGATAACATACATAATGTTCATTACTTTGTTCTATTCTTTTGTGAACACTGACATTCGTGCTCAGTTGGATTCCAAATTCAAATGAGATTTAAATGCAAGTGGCTGAGGTGTCACTTGAGCTTAAGCATCACTTTGGTTATTTTTTTTTATCATGGTGGTTCATTTTTCAATTTATGAGTCTTTCATATTTAACTTCATTTTTATTTTTTGATATTTTGCACTTGCTTGAAATATCATGGTGGTTCATTTTTCAATTTATGAGTCTTTCATATTTAACTTCATTTTTATTTTTTGATATTTTGCACTTGCTTGAAATGGCGTGTGTTGTGCCATTGATTATGTGATATGGCTCCACTTTGACCTTTGTTCTGTTTGCTATTCATCATTAACTAATATGGGTTTGACACAAGGTTTGACTTGCTAGACTTATTTGAAATATGATATTTGTGATTACGTCTCCTAATTCAATATTTTTGTGCTTTACCAAATTTTATAGATGATATCAATATTATATTAGTTGAACATTAATTATTCGGTCTATGAAGCGCGATTATGTTTGTTACGAAATAATACTTGAGCAACTATGATGGAAAGGAAGGATTTGGTGCCAATTTGTTAACGGATCTTTATTTATGATGGTATTGCGTCTTTTTTTCTTGTAGTAAAGTGTCTTGAAAACTGATTTCCTTTGTAACGTATAATGTCGTTTAGGGGAGATAAAGAGATCTGACTAGTTTGCGAGATGTGCTAATGAAGGAAGGATTGTGCCTACCAATTTCTATTTGGTTAGAAAATTCTAAGTTCAATGGAGAGATAGCGAGGGAAGAGAAAGGTATGTGGAGAATCACATGAAAGAAATTAAGAAAGAGTTAGAATTATATGAAAAGATACAAAGAGGAGTTAGTTAAATAATTTAATAATGACCATTTTTGAACTTAAATTTAATTAAATGCTAGATTCTTATTAATAGGATTTTAATAGTTAATTGAAATCATTGAAATAAATCTTAACATAATTTATAATACTAAACTATAATAGAAATAATTTAAATTTATTTTTAGAGGATATTTTGTGTTGCATCAAAAAGGCTTCACAATAATTTTGTTGATGCCCGCGTTTCTTAAATAAGTTCACCCCATGAAGCAGAAGATGTTTATGATGCGCTTCATTTGATCATTTCAAGAATGAAGGCACTCGTCATATATTACTGTGGTTCGATACTTTTGCCATATTATTGGAGCAAAATTACAAGCTTTATTCTTGAAGACTAACATAATATTATGGTTTGACATATGAACATTTGACTTGATTGTTATCTTGAACAATGATTGATATATTTGTTGAAATATCAATAAACATGGATTGAGAGATTTTTTTGAGTTTTTATTTTGTGGTTTTAATTTAATTTCACTCGGTTTCTTGTTATTTTATATTTATTTCCAATTTTAGATTATTTGATTTGCTATAATAAGAGCAAAGAGATTTTATGTTTCCATCTATAAATAACCCCTTAACCCTATTTGGTGAGATTAGAAATGCTTACTTTTGTTTTTTTGTATGGTACTGGATAATTAGGTTGTCTCGTGAGAAACCTTCATTGACTTTGACCACTCTTCCTCATTTTTGTGACTCACCTTTAACATCATAACCTGCTGTTCATCCCTCGTTGTCAGACTCATCGTTGAAATCTCAGCTCACTTTTTTGACTTTTCATCATTATGACTTGATTGTTCAATTTATCTCCCTCTCGTTATATCATACATTGCTTCAACAGGGAGCTGCAGGTTTTTGACGTCTACTTGATGTTGTACGTGAGTCTTTTTTACTTTTGATACATTGACCGGGCATCTAGCTTGATCTATTGATTACCTATAGATGAAAATTTTAAACAATCATTGTGATTGCTTGTCGATCACTCGCTTCTGCCACTCCAACGATCTTCCTTTATCAATCGCCGATCACTTGTAGTTGTCAATCCATCAACTCTGTGCAGCTTAGCTACATCTTTGATCACTTGCTGCCTTTTGCAATCATCAACCTCCAGCATTCATTGATCATTTTGTATTTTTTTTCACAGATTGAGTACATTGCTCTACCAGATTCTCCCATATAGTGACATTCAACTTTGAATATTAAAAGGAAGAGCACTACCTCTGAAATGACATTTGTTTTAGAAAGCTTCATAGCAAGTCTAGGCGGAGGATCTGAGAGCATTCATCTTTCCATCATTAGCCACAAGCAAAATGACCTCAATAATCTATAACGGTCCCATTTAGTAATGATATATTGTTACGCCCATGCCCGTAATAGACGCGGGCTTAACAAGACTGGTCCATCCTGGACCGGATGGATGCCCCCCAATTAGCCCGCCTGGCCGGTCTGCATGGCGAGAAAAGGCTGAGCGCCAATTTGCCGCGACTAAAGAAGGCACAGACAACAATTTGTCGTGGCTGAAGAAGGCAGGGAAAAGGAGGGTCTTTGCCGCGACTAAAGAAGGCACATACAACAAATTGTCGTGGCTGAAGAAGGCAGGGAAAAGGAGGGTCTACGAGGGCCTTAATCACATACTCGAGGAGGAGAAATTAGAGGAGTTTGGAGGGAAAGTTGGAAGAAATGTTTTGAATTGCTGTGGGAGGTTTCTATTAAAGGGAGTAACTTATGGTTTGTCTTTTTATGCATGTTTTGCTGTGGGTGTTACTTTCTTCTTGTGGTGTTTCTTGCGACGTCTAGGGTGTGGAAGAGATGATCTACCTCTCGAATAGTAGATCAACCTCGTATCTTGCTTGTTTTCCTTTGATTTTAGTAAGAGCATTCCTTATTTGTGTTTCTTCCACCTATCTATTGTCGTTTCGTCATGATTCGTTCACTGATTTTGGTTCCGAGGTGTATCATATATATTTGGCAGAAAGACAGACAATTACCCATTGGAGTTGCCACAACCTCGAAGAAAAAGATCTAGTATTTAGAATCTCAAAGCTAAAAAAAAAAGATGGTAATGTTTCAACTCATTAATTATGTCAAATGAAGTATTAGAAAATTTCCTTATCTATGACATAATAAAAGAGATAAAATGCATCTATAGAAACTTATTTCAGTTTTGAGAACAAATTGGATTTATTTTCTATTGAATTTACTCTTCATGAACTTTGGGAGATCCTCTATCACGGAGTATTACAATTCCTTCAAATGCCATTAGCCACAAGTCAATGTATTTGAAGTGCATGAACATTAATATTTTAGAGATGAAAGATTATATATTAAAATCGTTAAGAAGAAATGGTTTCTTAAATTTTTTATGAAATTGAAAAAGGATTTTGGTAAACAAAATGGGCGATGCTTAGGAATAAAGCTAATGCCCATAAAATCACTAAAGATTGATAATAGAATCCTCAATTTCCTCATATATATATATATATATTTTAAGAAAGTCTGAGGGCAAATATATTAATACAAAAAAGATACAAAAAAATTGTATGAAAGAACCTAAAAGAAAACCCAACTCATACAATTCCAACACACACAAAACTCAGATAAAACAAAGATACATAAATGTACAAAACCAAAAAGTCACAAAAGAGCACAAAAAGTGTTAGGACTAAGGATGTTCCACT